TTGGATGGGATACTGGAACAGAAAAAGGATATTAGGAAAAAACCAAGGAACTTGAACTGTGAACTTTAGTTGTTATTAAAATTAATAAAAATGTATTAGTATTGGCTCATTAATTGTAGCAAATGTCCTATACAAAGATTTAAAAATAGGACAAACTGAGTGGGGATATATAGAAACCGCACTATTTTCTTAACTTTCATAAATTTAAAGCTGTTCTTCAAAAATAAAATAAAATAGTTCTATTTTATCTTTTTACCATGTAGCTATTTGCCAACACAAGGCATACAGGCAATTTAATTAAGAACAGAATAGGAAAGAAAGAGACAGCAAGGCTGGGTCTAGGAACAGAGTCCAGAAGAAATCAATTCAAGGCCAAAAGCAGTCATTAAGTCAAGCAAAAGTTTATAAATTCAGTCTGTAGTTATTCTAGGAATAAGTTCACCTGCCAAGGGACTGGTCTTTTTCTATAAAGTACATATCTATTTACTGTTTCCCTCAAATCCTCATTGCTTAGATTCAGATCAGCTAATGATAGACAAAATATATTGTCAAGGATCACTACGATAGTAAAAACAGTATGCAAAGAGAGATATTTAATTTAGCTTTTCCAGATGGAAAATAAGCTGTGTGCATCTGTAAAAAAGAGTGGACAGCTAAAAACAAAATCTATGAAATACTGTATCTCAATACTTATAGGATCCCACTATCCAGTGTGACAAGTAGTTCTATTTCCCACTACTAGAAATATGTCTGAGTACTAATCTAATAAATATCAGATATTAAATTTCTATTAAAACCTTAAACTAAATGAAAAACAAAAACAAAACCTTAGGACTCCCCAGCAGGGTAATTCCCTGAAGGACTGACAAGATCTTTCTTTCAGAGGGTATGAGAAGATCTGGTTAAGAGTACCCTAAGGAAGGATCTAAGCCTGTTTATGGTCTACAAGCAAAGAAACATAAGTTATTGATACAGGTATACAAATAATTTATTTGAAAAATCTGTTCTGAAATAATTTCATTTTCTGAAGATAACACTGAAATGTTGTCCTAAAACCAAGTCTCTTGCAGAGCGAATGATTTTAACTTTTTTTAAAGGAATAAGAGTAGACAGGTCTTCTTTATAAACTTCATCTGCATTTCCTTAAGAAAACAGCCGAAGATTTCACTTCACAGAAACAGATTTGCATTCTCTAATTATCTCCAACTTGAAGGTTACAGAGTAAACTAAAAGGGGGCAGGGAAAAGTTTACAGAAACAGCTATAAACACAAACTAAAGTAATCAAAGCAGTATTTGGAGGCCTAAAATTTGGTTGTCCTTTACCCCTCTGGACAATCAACTGCCTCCCAGCAGGGTAGAAACCTACACTATTCCAATAATTTACATAAGAAATTAGCAACCAAAATTTACATCTGAATGGCAAACCCCAGAGCCCATCAGGTGTTAAGTATTTGCTTATCTAAATTGCCTCTAAAAATAGCTTTACCTTTCTTTAAGCCTTAGGTAAACAGGGGATTTCCCACAAAGGGAAGGCAGTATGCTTAAATAAGTCCAGGCAGTAGAGTGCCCTATTTCATTGCCATTTTCATAAGGAAAATTTCAGAACTGTTCTCCCTTTGAGAAAGAAGGCTCTTAAAACTATCTTAGAATGAACCCAATTGAAAGGTGGCTCACACCTATAATCCCAACACTTTGGGAAGCCAAGACTGTTGGATCATGAGGTCAGGAGTTCAAGACCAGCTTGGCCAAGATGGTGAAACCCCGTCTCTACTAAAAATACAAAAATTAGTCAGGCATAGTGGCGGGCGCCTGTAATCCCAGCTACTCCAGAGACTGAAGCAGAGAATTGCTTGAACCTGGGAAGCGGAGGCTGCAGTGAGCTGAGATAGCGCCATTGCACCCCAGACTTGGTGACAAAGTGAGACTCTGCCTCAAAAAAAAAAAAAAAAAAAAGCACTACCTTCAAACTATAAACTACCAAATTAAGTAATAAACTTTTTGTTTTAAATGCCTTCCCTCGGGTTAATTCAAAGGGGAAAACAAACGATGGACATTAATTATAAGAATCAAAATTTGTAATCCCAGCACTTTGGGAGGCTGAGGCGGGGGATCACAAGGTCAAGAGATAGAGACCACCCCTGGCCAACATAGTGAAACTAAAAATACAAAAATTAGCTGGGTGTGGTCTACTTGGGAGGCTGAAGCAAGAGAATAGCTCTAGGAGGCAGAGGTTTGCAGTGAGCTGAGACTGCACCACTGCACTCCATCCTGCAGACAGGGCTAAAAAAGATAAAAGAAAAAAAAAAAACAAAAAAACGAAAGTAGCAGATACAGGAATCTAAGTGTAGGACTAGTGGTTTTGGATTGTCTTGGAATCTAAATCTTGAACTTGAGTGGGATGCTTAAAAAAAAATTGTACCTCCTTTACCTTTAAAATATTAGTACTCTTCCTATATACTTCTCATACTCTCCTGTTTTAAAGTTTAAGAAATACTGGCTATCTCTAGATCACTGAGTTTATATCTTGGTGGGTACTAAACAGCTTTCCATACCTGGTTATAAATAACACCAGTGGCAGATACCCTGCAAGGCAAACTTAAAACATACCCAGAGCACAGGAAAAATGGGAACCTCTCTCCCATTTTTTGGTATAAAATTAGATATTTGAAAATTATCTTCTAAAGCTTTTACTCTATGTAACACTCATGCATAACAAGATTCTCAATGGGAATCCAACATTTTAAGCACTATTTCATCTTCCAGTTACCTGATAAATGAGTTTACAGCCCAATTAAATAAAAGGCATGAAGATAGACATAAAGCAAGTAAGAAAAAACATAATGGTAGTCACCTCCCAAACCTCTACAGGCTTAAAGTCCTGAATTATGTCAATAATGAATAAATCCATATATATTATATTAAGTTTGGACAATCATAAGCAGAAGCAAATTCCTAAGGAATAATGTGCTATGGGCAGGACCACAGTACTAATTTCTAGAGCCCATCTTCAGTGAATTGGGCACTTATAAGCTACCAGGAGAATTATTCAGGTCTCCTTACCTCCTAGGTAGGGGATTTTGACTCCCTTACTGTTTATCACATTGTCCAAAACAAGAAAAGAAAAAAAAGTCAAGAGAAGATAAAATTCCCAAGCAGGGCTTTCTGGCTTTCCATTTTCTTTTTTTGTTTGTTTGTTTTGTTTTTTGAGATGGAGTTTCGCTTTTTGCCCAGGCTGGAGTGCAATGGTGCAGTCTTAGCTCACTGCAACCCCTACCTCCCGATTTCAAGTGATTCTCCCGCCTCAGCCTCCTGAGTATCTGGGATTACAGGTGCATGCCATCATGCCTGGCTAATTTTGTTGTTGTTGTTGTTTTTTAGTAGAGACAGGGTTTCACCATGTTGGCCAGGCTGGTCTTGAACACCTGACCTCAGGTGTTCCACCTGCCTCGGTCTCCCAAAGTGCTGGGATTACAGGCATGAGCCACCGTACCCAGCCGACTTTCCACATTTGAACCTCTAGTTTTTCTCCAATTATTTGCACTTCAAGCTTTGTAAGAGGAATGCTCTGGAAATTGTATCTCTTTTCTTCCCCTCCCATTTCCCACACTCCAAAATTTTCATGCAGTGAAATCATCCCAGGTCCAAGTCATTCTGAGTATAAGAATAATACTCTAGTAATCTGGATAAAGTATTATTCATGAACTAATTAGGCTGGGATGGTCAGAAAATACAACACTAAACTATTAAAAAGAGGGAAGAGAGTGTAATTTAAGTTATGATATCACCAAAACCATGAAATACTGGAAATGCTTTACACTAGCATTTTCTTATAAAGTATGAAGCTTTGATGGAAGAGGAGGTTGACCCTAATAAATAAAAAGGGGCTATCAAAATATACACATTTTAATCCTCTAAAGAGAAATTTTTTACATTCATAATATTTATTTTTTTACTTATTTAATTTTATTTTTTTTGAAACAGACTCTGACTCTGTCACCCAGGCTGGACTGCAGTGGCATAATCTTGGCCCACTGCAACCTCGGCCTCCTTAGTTCAAGTGATTCTCTTGCCTCAGCCTCCTGAGTAGCTGGGACTACAGGCACCTGCCACCACACCCAGCTAATTTTTATATTTTTATTAGAGATGGGGTTTCACCATATTGGCCAGGCTGGTCTCAAACTCCTGGCCTTGTAAGCCACCTGCCTCAGCCTCCCAAATTGTTGGGATTACAGGCATGAGCCTCGTCACCTGGCCATATTTATGTGTATAAAATATTTTAATCCTCTGTATTTGATGAGTGTTCAAAATAAATGTAAAAGGTAAATACGAAACATCTAATCTTTCTGATTGTTTGCAGGGTAGGGGTGGAATAGAAAGAAGTAGAAGAGGGAACACTATAAAAGGTCCTAAAATAGTAGCATTCTTGCAGAAAGTTCTTGGAATACTGGAAAAGCCTTGACCTGGGTTTAGAATTGACTTTGCAAGAGACTATCTCAGTCTCTATCTATAAGATGAGATGATAACACTTGTCTATTTTTTTTTTGAGACAGGCTGGAGGGTAATGGCACAATCTCAGCTCACTGTAACCTCTGCCTCCTGGGTTCAAGCGATTCTCCTGCCTCATTCAGCCTCCTGAGTAGCTGGAATTAGTGGCATGTGCCACCATGCCTGGCTAATTTTTGTATTTTTAGTAGAGATGGGGTGTCATCATGTTGGTCAGGCTGGTCTTGAACTCCTGACCTCAGGTGATCTGCCCACTTCAACCTCCCAAAGTGCTGGGATTACAGGCATGAACCATTGTGCCCGGCCGGGATAATACTTGTCTTTCTTACAGACATCTGTTGGGAAGTGATGAGATAATGTGAGTGAGAACATAGTAATTCCTCATTCCTCTCCATACCATAATTACTAGTTTCCAGCCTTGAGCACCACATGTAATTAGAAATATGTCAGACAATATTAGAGAGAAAATAGTGAAAAGAAAACAACTGAAACCCACCATCTGTAGTGCAAGATCCTTCTGGGGCAGGTTTTTGTGAATAGGGAATTGGTGGGCTGTTTGAATCAGACATTTCTTCATCATCTTCATCATCTTCCATTTCATTAACTGTTAGACTGTTAGAAAAATCCAGACTCCCATTCTGAGTGTAGCGGTGTACCAAATCTTTGTCCAGATCCTCCACCTTGGGTTTGACATCTGGGTTAGCAAATAAATCGTAACAGATTTAATAAAAAGATGCTTATGGAAAAATGCACAGTTCTCAAAGACATATTTGAAGAAAAGAAGTCTAGCATTTTATTTCTTTCCTTTTTTTTTTGAGATGGAGTTTCACTATTGTTGCTCAGGCTGGAGTACAATAATGCCATCTTGGCTCACCGCAATCTCTGCCTATCGGGTTCAAGCGATTCTCCTGCCTCAGCCACCTGAGTAGCTGGGATTACAGGCATGTGCCACCACACCCTGCTAATTTTGTATTTTTAGTAGAGATGGGGTTTCTCCATGTTGGTCAGGCTGGTCTCAAACTCCCTACCTCAGGTGATCTGACCACCTCAGCCTCCCAAAGTGCTGGGATTACAGGTGTGAGCCACTGCGTTCAGTCGAAGTCTAGCATTTTCTAACATTTAGCCAATTTATCTCAGAGGTCCCAAGATTTGGAATCCTCACATCTAAAAGAAGAATCCCACTTTTTAAAAAAGGAGGCCAGAAATGTGTGTGATTGAGAAACTTACCTGCAGATGAGAAAGGATGCTGGTCAGGGTCCAGGTATAGCTGGGAAAAAATTGGCCGTGGTACCACACTACTACATCTGAGAGAGGCTTCTATGGAGTTGTGGAGAGCTTCCTCAAATCGAGCAGATTTCAGTTGCCCAGCATATGAATTCCCCATGATCTACACCTACCCACCCCCAAGAAAAAGAAGAAAGGATAAAATTGATATGGTTAGAGGTTATATGTCTCAAAGTACAGGTAGAATTAATATAAACTATGTTCATACATCTTAAGATGTGAACTATACGAACTACCCAGATATCTTAAGACAACTTATTTAAATTACTTGTTATCATATCATTTGTGCTTTTTGTCTCTACACCCAAACCCAACTCAAAAGGCCCCTTTAAGGAATCTTGTATCTATAACAGTAATAAATGCTTAAGTCAAGGCTCTCCAACTGGTAAATCAAGACTGACCTTCCAATCACGAATCCCAATCTGGTTAATGACGCAGCCACATCACCTTTATAGAAGGAGGCTACTATAATTCCCTAGAAATGTTATCAGTGGTTTCAGAATAAGAAATGAATTTTCTCTTTACAAAGATTTATGACTCCAGATGGGAGAAAAAGCCTCTCTTCTGGGAAAAAAATGAAAACTTTATGATTGCATATTTAACAAATTTCTGAAAGCAAGATTTGAGCCTTTTAAACTCAAAGAATTCATTTATGTATTACTAGTATTTGAAAAACACTGTTGTTTCTTTTGCTTCATCTGAAGTACAGTCTTATTTGGGACCCTTCAAAAAGTATATAGTAAAAAGCTTTGAAGCCATGACCTTTACTTCTCACCATTAATATTTATATAGCTATACTATAGTACTTGCTGGTTATAAAAATTTCCATATATAACAATACTAACTACAATTTACTGGGTGACAACTACTGGCTAGACTAATGATTCTCAAAGGGTCTTGGGGGTTGGGGTGGGGCCAAGACCCTACCCTTTCAATGGTCCATGAAGTCAAAACTTTTATTTTCTATTTTGTATTTTTTTGAGACACAGTCTCACTCTGTTGCCCAGGCTAGAGTGCAGTGGCACGATCCTGGCTCATTACAACCTCCACCTTCCAGGTTCAAGCAATTCTCTTCAGCCTCCCAAGTAGCTGGGACTACAGGTGCACAGAACCATACCTGGCTAATTTTTGTATTTTTAGTAGAGATACAGTTTCCCCATGTTGGCCAGGCTGGTCTCGAACTCCTGACCTCAAGTGATTCTATCTGCCTGGGCCTCCCAAAGTGCTGGGATTACAGGCATGAGCCAACGCACCCAGCCAAAACTATTTTCCAACTATTTAAAAAATTTATTTTTTGTTCAAAGCTGGTAGGTAAGGCTGTGGGAGCTGGTTCAGCTGTTCAACAGTGCTCTCAAGAACAGAGCTCTTTCTATCATTCTGCTTCATCATCCTGAATGTGTTGACTTTTACTCTCATTCTTGTCCCCAAACAGCTGTAACAAACTAAGGTATCATGTCTACGTTCCAAATAATCAAAAGGGCAAAGAGCCTTCTTTTTAGAAACCTTGGTCTTTTTATTTGGAATAGAAGGCTTCTTCCCAGAAAACTTTTCCTGGAATCTCATAGAAATGGGTCAGCTGTCCATTCCTGGGCACATCATCTCACTAACTACTAGGCTATTATTTGCCTTTTTCACTCTGATTCACTCATATGTGTATGTGGAATTTTCCACAATCAGCAGGATGTGTGATATTGCAGCTGGTTGAATGCAGAAGCATGTAAGCTACTCACTAACTTGTCTTTGGAAAATACAATCATTTTTCATAAAATATGCTATCTATGTTCAAATATAGTGGGGTTTTATTATAATTTCTAAAAGTACTATATAGTTTTAAATTTTTTGTTTTAATTTTTAATAAACAAAAATTCTATGGGGTTCTCAATAATCTTTAACAGTATAAATGGGTTCTGATACTAACAGTTTGAGAACTATTGGGCTAGATAGTTTACTAAGCACTTTATAAAAATTGTTGTATTGAATCAGTATTCTGAAGCAGGTATGCCCTCTTTCCACTTCCCAGATTGGAAAACAAAACAAAAAAAATCAAAACTTGAAGAAACAAAGTGACCAGTTCACTACCATTCAACTAATAAGTGATGGAGCCAGGACTCAGTATCTAGCCATGTAGTGACAAAGCCTGCACTCTTATTGTAGAGCCTCAGCTTGGGTAAATCTCATTTCAAGACAGGTAATTCTGAGAGTATCTTAGCCCCCCCGCCACCTTGTATCAAAGAGGGGGATAGAATTTAATATTTATCTGGAATGCCAACTCTGATTAACTCCCTGGAGAGAGTCCCTTGAGGACTGGTTGAGAAGAACCCTGAGGATGCACCTGTGCTCATCAGAAAAGGGCACCAACATCCAGCGTGCCCACTCATGAGCAGAGAAGAGGTGATGCACAGCAATCTACCACTCTATCTCAAGTTTCCCAGACTCACACACTAAAGCTCTATAGAAGATTTTGGTGCCCCTGAGCTACTTTTTCATAGCAAAGAAGACTTCTGATATGATTCCTGGTGGCAGTGAGTAGTATTCAGTGATTTCCCAGAGTGGCTGGGTTTGTCAAAGCTTTATTAGAGATTCCTACGATTTAGAGAACAAGCCAGAAACCTACTTTGGCAACTTTTCTCTAATAGGTAATAAAAACAAAATGCCATGAACTTAAATTTCTAGGTTTGTTTTTTTATTTTTTTACCAAAGTATATACTCAAAATGTAAAATACCCAATTACAAGTTGCTTATATATGTTGCCATATATTTGGGGGGTGCAGGGAGAGAGCGCACCCAGTTAAAAGATGAAATAGAAAATCAACAAAGTCTGTCAAGTGAAATGTTCCTGAAACACCAAGTTTTTGGCCAGGCTCCTAAGACTCCCCACCAGTACAACTACAAACATTTAAAAAATTTGAGGTTCAGAGTAATTTACTTTTCAACAGCAATCACACATGATCAAAACAGGGTGGAAGTTGGAAGAGAAATCTCTGTGCCATCTAAGTCAAAATCCAACAACCACTTCACCTTTCTTCTTGGCTAAAGACAGAAAACTACTAGGAACTAGCACAGTTAACCATGGGATTGCTTATCTGTGAACAATGGAATAACTTCAAAAGTGAACCTTTTTCCAGAGCACCAAATGTCTGGAAATCTTGCTGCCTCTTAATCTATCACTACTTCAACAAGTTATCTTCCCTTCATCATTGAAAGTCTTGAAAACCTGCATTCTCCTACAGATTGTTTTAGTTTAATTTTTTTTTTAAAAAGCATCCAGTTATACATGTAGGATCATATAATCTCAGTCTCTTCACCTTATAGTTTGAGGAGCAATATGATAGAACATACATAAAGGACAGATAAATATCACACTAATACAAATATTAAATCAGACTGAGCCTGGTGGCTCATGTCTAGAATCCCAGCACTCAGGAAGTTGGAGGCGGCAGTGAGCTATGATTGTGCCACTGTACTCCAGACAGAGCAAGATCCTGTCGCCCCCACAAAAAAAATTAATTTAAAAATGGGTGATGGAGTTTCACCATTACAGAAGACATACATAATCCTACAAGTGCTTTAGCAATACTCACATGAAGACAATGGGAAGTATCTATTCCCTGCTCAAACTAGGTAGAATAAAAGGAATTAGCTGTCTCTATTCCAAACAAAAATATAACTGGGCATTTAAAAAATAATAATGGTGGCTGGGCACAGTGGCTCATGCCTGTAATCCCAGTACTTTAGGAAGCCAAGGCAGGCAGATCACTTGAGGTCAGGGGTTCGAGACCAGCCTGGCCAATATGGTGAAACTCTGTCTCTACTAAAAATACAAAAAGTTAACCAGGCAAGGTGGCGTGCTTCTATAGTCACAGCTATTCAGAAGGCTGAGGCAAGAGAATCTCCCAAGGTTGCAGCGAGCCAAGATTGCACCACTGCACTCCAGCCTGGATGACACAGTGAGACTCCGTCTCAAAAACTAAACTAAAATAAAAAATATAAATAAATAAGAATAGGCTGGGCACAGTGGTTTACGCCTGTAATCCCAGCACTTTGGGAGGCTAAGGTGGGCAGATCACCTGAGGTCGAGTTCCAGACCAGCCTGGTCAACATGGCGAAATCTTGTCTCTATTAAAAATACAAAAATTAACCGGGTGTGGTGGTGCATGCCTCTAATCCCAGCTACTCAGGAGGCTGAGGCAGGAGGAGAATCACTTGAACAGTGGGGAGGTGGAGGCTGAAGCAGCTGAGATCACGACACTACACTCCAGCTTGAGTGACAGAGTGAGACTCTGTTTCAAAAAATAATAAAATAAAAAATAAAAAATGATAATGGTAATGTAAAGAATTACATAACTGACCTCAGACTTCTTTAGTGCTATGGAGGTCTACCCTTGATAGCCCACTGATACCCAAAAAAGAAGGGTGGAGTTTAAAAAAATGTCTGTGTAATATATTGTAAATGTCATATGGCATGATATTCAGGGTCACTGAAATTGTGGCCATTATCCACAAGGCTCCGTTTCCTCTAAATCTCAAAGAGCCCCAATACCTAAGATGGTGTAACACCTGACTAGAAGTCCATGTGAATAAATCTGACTTCAGGTAGAAGATGAAAAGATACTTTTCAAAACTAGTCATTACATCAAATGCAAAAAGAAAGGCAACTTCTGGACAGGAGTGGTGACTTGTGCCTATATCCCATTCACATTGAGAGGGCTAAAGCAGGAGCACTGCTTGAGGCCAAAAGTTTGAGACCAGCAACATAATGATACATTGTCTCTATTTTTTTTTTTGAGATGGGTTTTCACCAAGTCAGCTGCCTGTCTCAAACTCCTGACCTCAGGTAATCTGGCAGCCTCGGTCTCCCAAAGTGTTGGGATTACAAGCATGAGTCACTGCACCCAGCCTTTTTTTTTTTTTGAAAGGGAGTCTCCCTCTGTCTCCCAGGCTGGAGTGCAATGGCATAATCTCGGCTCACTGCAGCCTCCACTTCCTGGGTTCAAAGGACTCTCCTGTCTCAGCCTCCTGAGTAGCTGGGACTACAGGCATGTGCCACCACATCCAGCTAATTTTGTATTTTTAATAGAGATGGGGTATCACCAAACTCCTTACCTCAGGTGATCCACCCACCTCAGCTTCCCAAAGTGCTGGGATTATAGGCAGAAGCCACCTCACCTGGCCTATTTTTAAGGAAAAAAAAAAAAAGAAGAAGCAAAAACAAAGAACTAAGGGACCCAAAAATCTCATGTCACTTTTGTAGACTGTAAGACATACAAAAAAAAAAAGACAGAAAGTCAACTTGTGATTTCCACTATATACTTACATATTTATGTATCTAGCTGACATCAAGTTTATAAGACTGCATTACATTGCTTTTCCATATATATTTTATTTATTTATTTATTTATTTTAAAAACGGGGTTTCACTATGTTGGTCAGGATGAGGCAGAGAATTGCTTGAACTCCCAACCTCGGGTGATCCACCTGCCTTGGCCTCCAAAGTGCTTGGATTACAGGTGTGAGCCACCGCGCCTGGCCGCTTTTCCATATTTTTTATTGTAAAATTACAAAAGGACAAACTGTATTAAATATTTTGTCACAGCACTACAGACCTCTGAAATACTAACAAGCACATTTGTGACTTTGAGAAAATGTCTAAGAAAAAGACAGCAAAAAATACGAGCAAGTCTTTCTGCACCCCTAATTAATTGCTCAAAATGCAGTGGATCAACTACAAACCACCACAGCATTGTGGTTTGCAGCCTTTCTGTTCTATCCCTTTCTCTTTTTCCATAGAAAGAAAAATTGCGGAAGGGGGATGTGGGTAAAACAGGCAGCCTCTATCTCTGGTCACTTCAGGAAGTGGGGCTGGAGAGGTTGGAAAAAAAGAAAAAAGAGTAGCTTGGGAAATAGGTGCCTGTTAATGCTTCCATGCCTCTCCTCAGTTCTCCTTTTTCTTTAGAAAATGGAAAAGAGTAGTAATGCACTCTGAGGGACAGTAACCCTTGATGTGTAATATTTTCATTTCCTTTTTGTGAAAGATTTCATAGTTAATAATTACTCTATTATTAAAACTGTACTTCTATAGTATTTATTAAGTACACAGCAGAGAGGCTGGGTGCGATAGCTCATGCCTTTAATCCCAGCACTTTGGGAGGCTGAGGCAGATGGATCACGAGGTCAGGAGTTCAAGACTAGCCTAGCCAAGATGGTTAAACCCCATCTCTACAAAAAATACAAAGGATTAGCTGGACGTGGTAGTGGGTGCCTATAATCCCAGGTACTCAGGAGGCTGAGGCAGAGAATTGCTTGACCCCAGGAGGCGGAGTTTGCAGTGAGCTGAGATCACACCATTGCACTCCAGCCTCGCGACAGAGCAAGACTCCGTCTCAAAAAGAAAAAAAAACAAATATATACACACACACACACACACACACAAAAAAAAAAAAAAAAAAAAACACCCAGGTGTGGTGGCAGATACCTGTAAGATACCTGTAATCCCAGCTATTCAGGAAGCTGAGGCAGGAGAATTGCTTGAACCCTGGAGGTGGAGGTTGCAGTGAGCCAAGATCATGCCATTACATTCAAGCCTGGGCAACAAGAGTGAAACGCTGTCTCAGAAAAAAAAAAAGTATATAGCAGAGAGAAAGAAACATCCTTCTCAGTGATAAAATCTTCCTTTAACTCTCAAAGATTTTTTACAACTAAAGCATTCAATTTCAGAATATATAGTCTTTTTTTTAATATATATAGTCTTATTTGTAAAAAGTTAAAGTTGTATGTGAAGCACGTGTTACAATGGTAGACATTATCGGCAGTTAATATAATAGTAGCTGATGTATTTATTACTAGTAGTAGTGATAATGGTGGTAGCGGTGGTGGTGGTAGTGGTGGTGGTGGTGGTGGTGTTGGTAGGGGTGGTGGTGGTGGTGGTCGTTGTTATTGTCAAGAAACGTGAAAGAAAGCATCCCTTCAACGATTGTAAGAGTAGCATAGACAGCTTACTAAACACCAAGCAAGCGCTATTACTACTCACATTTTCAAGATAACTGAGGCTTAGAGAAGTTAAGGAACTTGACTAAGATCACACTACAAGGAAATAAGTAAGACAGGGTGGAACCCAATCAGTTGGGCTCAGAAGCAGCTGTCTCAGGCACTTGGGCCATTAAGTTAACTAAACCACCTACCAAGATGGCCCAATTGGGTAAGTAAATGGATACTCTGCAATGTACTACAAAATTGCCGACCTCCAAAGAAAAAAATCAGAAAAGAAAATGTTTGTTTGCTGATGTTGGCCTCATCTCTATGTATCACAGTTGCAAGAGAAGGCTAAAGAGTAAATTTTAACTTAAGATATGAGCCTAAGAATCACAAAGTCAAGTAACGATTTTAAAAACCAAAACAAAATAACCCTACCTCTCTATTAAAAAACTCCTCACATCAAAAATTAGCCGAGATTGGTGGCACGTTCCTGTAGTCTCAGCTACTCAGGAGGCTGAGGTGGGAGAACTGCTTGAGCCCAGAAGTTGAGGCTGAAGTGTGCTGTGATCGTGCCACTGCCCTCCAGCCTGGGTGACAAAATGAGACACTGTCTGGAAAAAAAAAAGAAAGAAAAGAAAAAGAAAAAAGTTCCCCTTTTGACTAAATATAAATATATTTTCAAGTATTACACTTGGGGTTTTAATAAAAGTTTCTTTTAATACCAACTATTTGGAGCAAATAAATGTTAATTTTTAAAAGTATTTTTAAAAAGGAAATGACAACGAAGAACCAAAAAAACACTGACTTTTTTTTAAAGAAAGATCATGTACAAGCTAAAAGAAAACTAAATTTAAGACACACTTTGGAGTGTGTGGTTTTAACAGCAAATTAAGTTGTGGTACAGGTAGATGGGGATGTATGTATGCTCAGTAATAACTCATTGTTTTAACAGTTTTAAAACATGCATTTCTAAGCTTTGTCTACTGAAAAGTCTGAGAAGCAGTAACATTCAATTACTATTAATCAGCACTTCCTAGGCCAGGCACAGTGGCTCACACCTGTAATCCCAGTACTTTGGGAGGCTGAGTTGGGCAGATCACAAGGTCAAGAGATTGAGACCATCCTGGCCAACATAGTGAAACCCCATCTCTACTGAAAAAAAAAAAAAAAAATTAGCTGGGTGTGGTGGTGCGCACCTGTAGTCCCAGCAGGCTAAGGCAGGAAAAATAGCTTGAACTCAGGAGGCCAAGTTTGCAGTGAGCAGAGATCAAGCCACTGCACTCCAGCCTGGGCAACAGAGTGAGACTCTGTTTCCAAAAAATAAAAATAAAAAAAAATAAAAAATCACTTCTTATACTCTGATTGTAGTGGCCTAAAGCGTTCCACACTGAAAGGAATCAAGATTTCTTAAAGGTATGACCAGTTCCAAGTCTGGGACAGGGAATACGCAAGATGAACCTCGAACATCCTGAACCAGAAACCAAAGAAGGTTATCAAGAATAATAAGGCCAGGTGCAGTGGCTCACATCTGTAATCCCAGCACTTTGGAAGGCCAAGGCAGGCAGATAGTTGAGCCTGGGCAATATGATGAACGAAACCTTGTCTCTACAAAAAATACAAAAATTAGCTGGGCGTGTGGTGGTGTATGCTCGTGGTCCCAGCTTCTTGCAAGGCTGAGGCATGAGAATTGTCTGAGCCTGGGAGGTGGAGGCTGCAGTGAACCGTGATTGTGCCACTGCACTCCAGCCTGGGTGACTGAGTAGAACCTGGTCCCAAAAAAAAGCTAGGTGTGGTGGTGTGCACTTGTAATCCCAGCTACTTGGTAGGCTGAGGCAGGAGAATCGCTTGAACCTTGGAAGGCCGAGGTTGCAGTGAGCTTAGATCATGCCTCTGCACTCCAGCCTGGGCGACAGAGCGAGACTCTGTCTCAAAAAAAAAAGAACTAATGAAGCATGTCAAAAGACATAGGAGACCAGGTACAGTGGCTCATGCCTGTAATCCCAGCACTTTGGGAGGCCGAGGAAGACAGATCAACTGAGGTTGGAAGTTTGAGACCAGCCTGACCAATATGGAGAAACTGCGAGCGTCTCTACTAAAACTACAAAAAAAAATTTACCTAGGTATGGTGGCACATGCCTGTAATTCCAGCTACTTGGGAGGCTGAGATAGGAGAATCGCCTGAACCCAGGAGGCAGAAGTTGCTCTGAGTCGAGATCGCGCGATTGCACTCCAGCCTGGGCAGCACAAGCAACACTCCATTTCAAAAAATAAAAAAAATTCATCCAGAAAAAATAAAGTTACACACAAACTAAAAAACAAACAAAATAAAAAAATTTTTTAAATTAAAAAAAACCATAGGAGACCACTTGAAAGGTTTCCATAGGCTAAAGACAAGAAAAATCAAACATAAGAGAGAATAAATGCAACTGACTGAAGCATATTTAAAATATAAAAACTCACAAATTAATTTTGCTACTAAAGGAGAAAAAGCGAAGGCTCCTTTTGGAAAGAAACAAAGCACTACAAGCAGGAAAAGAAAAGAGCACAGCATTTATTCTGCTCTTTCTGTACTTCAAAGTAACCAAACAGTCCTGATTATTGAGTTTGAATTTTTTTTTTTTTTTGAGACAGAGTCTCACTCTGTCACCAGGCGCCAGGCTGGAGTGCAGCGGCGCGATCTCGGCTCACTGAAACCTCCGCCTCCTGGGTTCAAGCAATTCTCCTGCCTCAGCCTCCCGAGTAGCTGGGACTACAGGTGCATGCCACCATGCCCAGAAAATTTTTGTAGAGACAGGGTTTCACTGTGTTGGCCAGGATGGTCTGGATCTCTTAACCTCATGATCTGCCTGCCTGGGCCTCTCAAAGTGCTGGGATTATAGGCATGAGAGAGTTTGAATTTTTTTAAATGAAGAATTCCAGCTAAAAAATGGGGGAAGAAAGACAGAATTATAAAATTACCACTTTGGAACCCCTAATGAAAAATTCACAGAGGCAATGGTAATTCATGCAGCTAATGGTAATTTATATAGGCAATGGTAATTCATGCAGGCAATGGTAGTAAGTGAAACCATGAGACAGAAGGTTAATGGGGAACTTTAAAATGGAGAGATCAGACTGTCACCTCCTGAACCCACTGGTTGAGCTTAGCATCACTAAAAGTGAGGCAGTGAGATGCTGTGTGCCTTCTCAGTGGAGACAATATGAAGCACACATACCACCTAGGAAGCATTCCTGCCAAATGGTGTAATGAATTTAGTCATCCCTCTAGAACAGGGGTGTCCAATCTTTTGCCTTCCCTGGGCTACCCTAGAAGAAGAATTGTCTTGGGCCACACATAAAATACACTAACAATAGCTGATGAGCTGAAAAAAAAAAAAAAAAAAAGGCTGGGCACGGTGGCTTAAGGCTGTAATCCCAGCACTTTGGGAGGCCGAAGCGGGTAGATCACCAGAGGTCAGGAGTTTGACACTAGCCTAACCAACATGGCAAAACCCTGTCTCTATTAAAAATACAAAAATTAGCTGGGTGTGGTAGTGCATGCCTGTAATCCCAGCTACTTGGCAAGTTGAGGCAAGACAATCTTGAACCCGGGAGGCGGAGATTGCAGTGAGCCGAGATCATGCCATTGCACTCCAGCCTGGGTGACAGAGCGAGGCTTCATCTCAAAAAAAAAAAAAAAAAAAAAGAAAAGAAATTGCAAAAAATCTCATAATGTTTTAAGAAAGTTTACAAATGTATGTTGGACAGCATTCAAAGCCGTACTGGGCCACACTAAACAAAGAATTGATTTGAGCCACACATAAAATACACTAACAATAGCTGATGAGCTTAAAAAAAAAATCACATGCACATAAAAAAAAATCTCATAATGTTTTAAGGAAGTTTACAAATTTGTACTGGATCAGATTCAAAGCCATCCTGGGCTGCATGCGGCCGGTGGGCTGCAGGTTGGACAAGCTTGCAAAAGCAACTTCCATTTATAGGATCAAGGAGCAAGTTAAATGCCCTAAGGAAACATGCAGAGTCAGAATAAGAGACAGATCTTTAGGGTCTGCAACAAGCCAAGGTCATCCAGTTTGTATATGGTGAAACAAGGATTTAAATTTAAACTCAAAAGCGCATGCTTTTCTACTAAAACATGCTGTTTGAAACAACAACAAAAAAGTGAGGGAATTATACATCCTGTTTGTGTGTGTGTGTGTGTGTGTGTGTGTATGGTGTGTGTGTGTGTGTGTGTGTGTGTGTGTGTGTTTCTTTTGGTCCCAGATAAATATTTTCTTTTCTTTTTTTGTTTTTGTTTTGTTTTTTTTTTTGAGACAGAGTCTTCTTGCTCTGTCGCCCAGGCTGGAGTGCAGTGATCTTAGCTCACTGCAACCTCCACCTCCCTTGTTCAAGCAATTCCCTGCCTCAGCCTCTGGGGAGGATGGGATTATAGGCACACATCACCACACCCAGCTAATTTTTTTTGTATTTTTAGTATAGATGGGGTTTCACCAAATTGGCCAGACTGGTCTCCAACTCCTGACCTCAGACAATCCAACCACCTCAGCCTCCTAAAGTGCTGGGATTACAGAGAGGCATGAGCCACCACACCCAGCCCAGATAAATACTTTCTAAGGTACAATGTATTGTCTGTGTGTCAAGCACAGTACTAAAAAGACAAATTTGTACAATTTCCTAGTTTTCTGTTATCTTTTTCTTTACAGACGTCACTTTCTAAACTTTAACAATTATTCATCCAGCATTTAGAGAAATTCTACTGTCATAGGGATTAATTACATTGACTCAGAGTCCAATGACCTTATTTCAAATCCTGTACCCACTTACTCTGTATATTGAGCAAATTACTCAATCTCTCATCTGTAAAACAGCGATAGTACTTTCAATTTCATAGATTTTTGTAAAAATACATGAGATTTTACATACAGTAATAAGTTTTTAGAATAGTGCCTGGCACAGAAAACAAAAGTACAGAAAATGTTGGTACTAATAGTAGCAAACTATTTTTAAATTAAAAAAAATTTTTTTAGCATTGTACCACACTGAGGGTATGAAGAAAAGTAAGATGCAGTCTTTCCTTTATGCGAGTTGGGTACTAATGTAAAAGTTCCAAAGGCTGCTATTTGGCACTATATACTATTTATTTATTAATAAATTTTACAATCATATCTATGAATCATGAGATAAACTCTGACACCAATAACAGTACTGTCCAGCAGAATTTTCTAAGATAATGGAAACATTCACATTTTAGACTGTCCAATATGGTAGACACTGGCCACATGTGGCAGTTAAACACTTAAAACTTGGCCAATGTGACTGAGGAACTAAAATTTCAATTTAGTTAATCGTAATTAATTTTTTTTTGTTTTGAGACCGTGTCTTACTTTGTTGCCCAGGCTGGAGTGCAGTGGCACAGTCTCAGCTCACTGCAATCTCTGCCTCCCAGGTTCAAGCCATTCTCCTGCCTCCTGCCTCAGCCTCCCAAGTAGCTGAGACTAGAGGTATGTGCCACCTGCCTGGCTAATTTTTGTATTTTTTGTACAGATGGGATTTCACCATGCTGGCAAGGCTAGTCTCAAACCCTTGGCCTCAAGCCATCTACCCTCCT